GTGCATGCGTACGTGTGCGCTTGCGTCCATATGTGAAGGGGTGTTTATTCTTTTGTGTGTGCTGAGGAGTTATGTAATATGTTTATTGAGATTCACTGTGATATTAGTGGTGCATATGTGAAGTGGGGGTGATTCTTTTTGTGTGTGTCAGGAGTTATGTAATATGTTTATTGAGATTATTAAAGCTACAAAGACTCAAATTGCAATACAAATTATGTATATCTTTATTTCTAAAATGCAGCCATTACTACAGACACTAGGCATTACTGCTGACATAGACTCGCCTAAAGTTGGAAATCATGAAGCACACCTTAACAATTCTTCCACCGAGAGAAATCTTCTGATGGGGGCAGGTCTCTTTTTAATATTTTAAATGTCTTGCTTAGACCAATGACCCTCTCTACATGAATCCTCTTAGATGCGATACGTCTATCCCTAACAACTGTCTCTGGGATTTTCCTTTGAGCATTGACGGCGTGTTTACATGCACATTACAGCGTCAACCTTGGGTCTCTTTCTTTCGTCTAAAAAAAGACATATTTAAGAAAACGTTAATGAAAATATATTATTAAAAAAATGCGTGGTGGCAACGAAGAGCTATAAAGCACTCGAGAGATAATCTCAATATAACAATAATAAAACATGTAGAATGAATGCCGGTGATTAATATAGTCAAGTACCTGGTACTGGTACCTCGTACTAGAGACACCTGGCCTCGATTATTTACCAATTACCAGCTGAACGTTGCCACTGGCATTGTCCTATTATAATTATACTGCTCTGTAGCGATAAATGCTGTCAATGATAACACTAACAGTTCTTTTTATAATCTAGACTGCATGGAATACGCAAGAAAACTACTGCAAACCTCAAAGTCAAAATGAGCTAATAACTAATGTTTATAAGCTATTTTCGATATTACACTTACTTAAAAGTGTGCTAGTATAGTCAGCCTCTCTGAAGTGATCGCTGCAGACTTTATGAAGGCATTTTAACTTGGTTATATCGCTATGACGATACGATCGGCTATTCGTGATTCCTGTATCTTTCCAACTGACCGGTTGATTGCGCAATCGTTGTAACACCTCTAACTCCCGCTGCGCCACCTGCAGACAAAGCTAGCGGCTAACCCCATTGTTCAATGAATGACGCACTTGATCACTTCCGACAGCGAGTGAAAATGCAGAATCGGCCGGGCATTTCATTATTTACGAAAAGTAAATAGGCTGGGGAACGACGGTAGGTACAAGAACTGGTAACGTCGGTCACGCCCCATTCATGTCCATCAACGAAGAAGGCGGGTCTTATTCTGATTACGGAGATGGGAAAATGCAACAGAAGAACCTAGCGCAGTGCACTAAACAGCGTGTTATTTTCGTATTTGTGCCAAATTCTATCGTAGGAAACCGAAATTATAATAAGTTATAATAGAGAGGCGCGGCGTAGACTGTGATTGGAAGACACAAAGTGTCAATCCTCGGCGTGCCTCGGCATCATGGCCGCATCACGTCCAGAGAGACCGGGTACAAGTTGGCGTTGCGCAAAAGATGTGTTGTTCCCCGACTGCCGAGAGCGGTTAAGCCGCGCACTTCCACGGGACTGGGCGCAGGCGACCGCAGGGTGTTGTATGTAGCATCTCGCGCTGCCAGCTATACGAATTCGCGCGCCGAAGGAAGGCGGGCGCGCGAATCCGTATAGCGGGAAGCATAACATCGCACAGTTTTCGTCAGACGTACACCGGCTTCACTACGGCGGCCTTGGGGGAGGGCATTTGCTACTGCTGCTGCTTTGCTGCTCCAGGGCCGCGTTGCAGCAGCGACCAGAATTTGGTGCTGCTGCTGGTTTGCTGCTGCAGGAGCGCGCTGCAGCAGGGGCAAGTATTGCTTGCTGCTGCTGCTGCTTTGCTGCTGCATGGGCCAGTATTTCTTGCTGCTGCTGCTTTGCTGCTGCATGGGCGCGCTGCAGCAGGGGCCAGTATGTACGTGTACGTAGGATTAGCTACGTGTAAAAACTGGCAATCTTGCAACAACCCAAGCATATCTTACTCTTAGCTCTTAGATACTGCGGCAGACATCACCGTCATGTCAGCAAGGACAGACAATGGCTTGGCATAACCGGCCAGTATTGAAAGCAACAAACACAGTAACTAATCTAGTCCAAGGAGGAACACTGAAATGTAACGGACAGTTTGGACGGCAGACGCGTCACAAACAAGGAAAAACGCCACAGCTTCCCAGTAGCTTCGTCAATTAGTCAAATTGACAATGCGACTGTAGCACAGTTGTCGTTACAACTACGTCACATAACCGCGACCGATAGATATCTATAATACTAACCTAGTAATTAGGATAGTATCGGTAGTATAGAATTACCTAATACTATAGGATATATTAGAGTATGAGATATAGTATATAGATATCTACGACTGTGACCACGCATGCTCACCATCCAGAGAGACATGATACAAGATGATTGGTGGCCACAGCCTTACTGTTGACACTACAGCGCTTGCGGCGGATGAGACGCGCAGTTCCGCGGGATATGCGCCACGCGACAGCGGGGATGTTCAAGTATGAAGCGGCCTGTCCGAGTGGAGACGTGCGCCAAATTCGAGGCCCGGCGCACGTCTACACACATCGGTTAGCGGATGGTCTGTAGTTTTAGAACGATGACAATGAGATTAATATATTGGACGATATTCTAGGAATTGGAGATTATAAAACAGTAACAAAAATCGCTCAGTCATGCTCGCAGATTAGCCTGAATCAAAAATATAAGAATTTAATAGGAACAAAACAAATACAATGGTTATAAAATTCACCAACAAAAAATGATAGAGAAGGAGAATATTAATAGACAACCAAGTAATCAAAAATGCACCAAATATTCATACCTAGGAGATTTAATTAATGATATAGGAGGTTAATAACGATATGATAAGAGTCCGAACTGAAAATGTAGGTTCATGATGAGGGAAATATTATCATGGGCAGAAAAGCAAAATTATGGAAATCATACTATAGAAGCAAGAGTGAAATTATACGATGCACAAGTTTTACCTTCTTTCCTAAATAACAGTGAAACATGGACTATAACTAAACTAACGAAGAAGTAAAAATGTTGGATTTCCAAAATGAGTGCCTGCGTAAAATAATAATCACGCAGAAAAACGCAGAAAAAACATCTACCGAAAGGCATTGAAAGACGATGAAAACTCCAAGGAAAGATACGGAGACAAGCAATAAAAATAAACATATAGTTTCTATAATGCTATATGTAAATCGTCGTAGATACATTAAAAACGCATGATTTTATTGAAAATCCTAATTTACTTATAAAACATCCAAGAAATGGCGCTGTGGGCATGTAAACATTGGCCAGGGGTGGTTTGCTTAATGGGGTTAGCCGCTAGAAACAGTTGGCCGCTGGAGGCAGCACATCATGCAGGGTGAAGATTATCAGCGTAACCCATATGCACACCCGGATATGAGTGGGGAAGTGGGTGTTTATTCTTTTGTGTGTGCTGAGGAGTTATGTAATATGTTTATTGAGATTCATGTATGTATGTAGGTACATGTATGACCTGCAGAAGAGCCCCTACTGTCGTACACACTTATATTCGCGCTGACAATATATATGCGTGCGTGGGTGTGCACGTCCACGTGTGTGCGTGCGTGTGCACGTACATGTGCGTGCGTGCGTGCGTGTGCACGTACTCGTGCGTGCATGCGTGCGTGGTGCGCTGTGTACGTACCCCGTGCGTGCATGCGTACGTGTGTGCTTGCGTGCGTGCGTATGGCACGTACAGTGTGCGAGCATGCGTGCGTATGTACGTGCGTGCGTGGCGGTGCACGTACACATGCGTGCATTGCGTGCGTGCGTTTGCACGTACACGTATGTGCGTGCGTGCGTGTGTACGTACACATCGCGTGTATGCGTGCGTGTGTGCGTGCGTGTAAACATGCACGTGTGTGCGCGTGTGCTCAACATGTACGTGATGCGTGCGTGTGTGCGTGCGTGTGCAGGTACATGTGTGTGCATGCGTGCGTGCATCTCGCTGCGTGGTGCACGTCCACGTGTAATGGGTGCGTGCGTGCGTGCGTGTGCACGTACATGTGCGCACGTACAAGTGTGTGCGTGCGTGTGTGCGTGCGTGCGTGCATGCGTACGTGTGCGCTTGCGTCCATATGTGAAGTGGGTGTTTATTCTTTTGTGTGTGCTGAGGAGTTATGTAATATGTTTATTGAGATTCACGGTGATATTAGTGGTGCATATGTGAAGTGGGTGTTTGATTCTTTTCGTGTGTGGTCAGGAGTTATGTAATATGTTTATTGAGAATATTAAAGCTACAAAGACCAAATTGCAAACAAATTTGTATATCTTTATTTCTAAATGCAGCCATTTACTACAGACACTAGGCATTACTGCGACAATAGCTCGCCTAAAGTTGGAAATCATGAAGCACACCTTAACAATTCTTCCACCGAGAGAAATCTTCTGATGGGGCAGGTCTCTTTTTAATATTTTAAATGTCTTGCTTAGACCAATGACCCTCTCTACATGAATCCTCTTAGATGGCGATACGTCTATCCCTAACAACTGTCTCTGGGATTTTCCTTTGAGCATTGACGGCGTGTTTACATGCACATTACAGCGTCAACCTTGGGTCTCTTTCTTTGTTCTAAAAATAAGACATATTTAAGAAACGTTAATGAAAATATATTATTAAAAAAAATGCGTGTGGCAACGAAGACTATATATATATATAATATGCACATGTAATATACTGACACCTTATAACACGAGAAGCCACTCTGACACTCGTGAATTATGACAAGTAACAACGTCTTTACTTCCTACCCGATAAAAAAACATAATTAATTGCTTTGCTATTATATCGGCCTTTAAGTTTCTAGGCACATGCTGTCCTCAACCGGCTGGGTCATAAACACGGAGCGAAGCAACTTTCGTGTCCCCCGCTACAATACCTATCATAATACCTTTTCTGCATATGTAGTCGCCAGGAGAAAACAACACCGGTTTTAATCTCAGCACAAGCTCACAGAGAAATCCAGCCTCTGTATTCTGAAATATTTCAACCTAAAAGAAAATGTATACTAGATAAGCGCGCATAAATGGAGGTTTAGCCACAACCACTATGTAATTTATGTTAATTAATTATTATAATTGTATTTAAAAATGTATTATAATTACGTAAACATATGCACAGTAGAATCTCGAGTGTGTGACATTCAGTTATAAGACATTCGACTTTATTCGGTTCTGTATATCTGTATAGCCGCAGTGTTGCACAGTGCACAGTGTAGCACTGCGCGTGCATCCGCCGAATATTTTGTTCAGCAGCTTTCACTATATTGTACACACTCCTATGCGATATATCAGTGACAACAAATATCAGAAATTATTGTCAAATTTTGTTATTAACTGAATACAGCTATACTGTGTATTGATTGACACAAACCATATTTCAAACTTATATATATAATTGAATTATATATATAAGTTTGAAATATGGTTCTGGGGCGTTTATATATATAAATATATAATTTATTTTACCCTAACCCGTCTTCAATTACACGAAAATCTTTAGATATCTTTTCGGTCGGATAATCGAGACTAAACTGTTTAATATAATGAACAAAACTTGCAATATCCTCTAGAAAACCTTATTCGGATTCATGTCTCTATAATTGCGACATACGAAAGCGTATTAGAAGGCTGCATTTTTTCAACTTACCTTCTTAAGAGTGTCTAGATGAACGTGGATAGCAATTTCTCCTTTCAGCTTATCCGGCAAGTAACACAGAGGTTTTTCTTCATCCGCGGATTTTTTGCTGATCCAAAGGTAGTCAAACCAGCGAATGACCTTTTCCTGTAGATGCCGCGGTACCCGTCGCAAATTCATATACGTCTTCACACCGTCCAATTTAGCTGCAACATGAAAAAGCAATTTTTAAAACTTTTCTTCCGTAATATTGCTACGTGTATGCATTAAATAATATTATTAAAATTTATAAGGGTTTTTGTCTTTTCTGTTCAACGGTTCATGCTAGCTAAGCTTATGTAATAGTAAACAGGTTGTAAATTGTAAAAGGTTGCATATTAATTGTGCATGGACATAGTTATGATCCATCTGTTGCATTATATTATTTAATGTATAATGTTTTTTTGTCAATAAGTTATTTGTATAATGCTTTCAATTAAGTTTCACAACATTGCGTAAACAAAAGCAACATTGTATTATTGAATAATATTGCTATTATTATTATTTATTGCGGAAGTCTAGTGACACGTTTTCTCATAGGTTAATACGACAGCAATATCAATATTAACAGTAAGAAAAAAACAATAAAGGTATACGAGGTAAAGATATATATCCAAAATACCATTTTTACATAAAAATTCAAAATTTGTGTGGGAACATAATTAGGTGCTGGAAATTTCATGAATTTTTTTTGGCTTGAGCATAGAGATATATCTCCTCTATAAATAAAACAAGTGATTGATTCGATTCATTCGCCAATAAACGTTTAATCTTCACTAGAGCAATACCCGTGCACAACGTGGAGAGTATCCTTAACAAACAAACAACATACGGCATTTAGAGACAACATGAGCAAACAGACAAAAGATATTGGCCTAAATATTTGTAATACACACGTAATTATTAAAATTCTTGTCATTACAAAGGTCATATTCGATCAAGTGATAAAGCTTTCATAAGTATGTGCTAAATCTCATCCAACAGCAATCGTCCAGCATGCATTCCAGTACCACGCTGCACTGTGTGCAGCTTCGCATACTTGGCTCGCAAATAGAACTTCATCACAAACTTAACTACGTACTGTGTGCAAGTATTTGTCCAGTAGGTTGCCACAAGCAAGTTGTTTAGAAAGGGTTATAATATTTCATTGGCAGCGTTGCATCAACTACCATCCTAGGATCATAATATATAGGATTATATCAATGGTCAACATTCCTCATTTCAAATATAACAATCGATCGTTTCTGCCGCACGATGACTTACTTCCAGTTCGCGCGATTGCAAATAGCTTAACGGAGTCGTTGGAATGTATTGCCACAAGAATTATTGAATATGAATCAAAATTGTATTGCTTGTCTTATTATCAACATGTGGGTGACATCAGCGACAATGTGGGAACTCTGATAATCTGTTCTTAGGATCAATCCCCCAGGGTCGCGATGACCAATCGCAAGTGCAACTAGAATTTGCAACCAACCCAGCATATCTTACTCTTAGATACTGCGGCAGACATCACCGTCATGTCAGCAAGGACAGACAATGGCTTGCATAACCGGCCAGTATTGAAAGCAACAAACACAGTACTATCTAGTCAAGGAGGAACACTGAAATGTAACGGACAGTTTGCGACGCAGACGCGTCACAAAGGAAAAACCCACAGCTTCCCAGTAGCTTCGTCAATTAGTCAAATTGACAATGCATGTAGCACAGTTGTCGTTACAACTACGTCACATAACCGCGACCATAGATATCTATAATACTAACCTAGTAATTAGGATAGTATAGGTAGTATAGATTACCTATACTATAGATATATTAGATATGAGATATAGTATATAGATATCTACGACTGTGACCACGCATGCTCACCATCCAGAGAGACATGATACAAGATGATTGGGTGGCACAGCTTTACTGTTGATCCTAAGCGCTGCGCGCGGATGAGACGCGCAGTTCCGCG